CAAAGCAGGGTCCAGGCTGCCCGGTCCCCTGCGCTACCCGGGGGAGCGGGAGGTGCGAGGGGTAGGGAAGGTTGCCAGGGCGAATCCAGGCAAAGCCAAACCGAAGCTCCACCAAAAGCAAGGAGCAGAAATGAAAGTTTCGAAATAGCATCCAAACAAGCGCCAAGGACCGGACCGAACGGAGCTCTCCGCCTCGCACCAGCCCTGGATGCTGCATCCGAGGGGCTGCGCCAGGGATGTGAACCCCCCTGCCCGCTGCATGGAGAGGGGTAAAGCCACGGAAAAGCCTTGTTATTTATTTATTTATTGCAAGCAATGTATGGGTGACACCCAGAAGGCATCTGAACCCTGAAAAAGAAAACCACAACGAACCACCTCTGGACTCAAATGAGAACGAGAAGAATGAGACAGCAGCCTTGACCCCTACACTGAGAGGAAGGTGAGCAGAAAGAAAGAAAGAAAATACAGAAAAGCCATGCAAGCACCAAACCTGTAGATTACTGCAGGTCTTTTTTTTGCATCACTGAGGACCAATATTTTACTGACAGCCATGCAGCATAAAGGCATCATGCTGATTGTGTTCTTGGAATATTTTATTTCTGGCCATGGGGAAACAGGTAAGCAAAATAAATCAATATTGTCATTCTGGAACAATTTATCCTAAGTTTAGCAAGGGGAAAGGGGTTATAAATCAGCTCTGTTTGTGAAAAAAATTTAAAATGTCAGCATCCTTATTTTAGATTGGATTTTTACAAGGAATCTGCATTAGTCAATATATACAAATATTTCTTATTCCTTGGAATACACAGCTTTATAGTTCAGCCTCCTTCCCAAGACTTATCATGGAATGTATAGGTTTGTGCATCCTTAAAAGAAAAAAAGTGTGTTATTTTTGCAAACAAAAGTAAGAGAGAAAGAAAGAAGTAGGTGGATTGAGATGTGCTGGATATTTGTTTTGAGGATGAAACACTGCCTTCCTAGGCAGGACAAGAGTGAAATGACAACATCCTTGGACAGCATCACTGTAGGAATCTGAATTATTCTTTGTTAACTTAATATTGCATCATTAAAAATCAGAGACACTGCTTAGGAATTCCTTTATCCAAGACAGTCCATTCATTCAGTGTAGTCCCTGACTTAACAGTTAACATGCAGTGGACAGGATTAAATTAGTGTTAAAGAAAAATGGATTAGGACAGAAAGAGAAGTTGATTAGTTGTATGTGTATATGTGGGTGTACAAATCAGCATATATAGGAATGATACAGCTGTAATGGTATTTACATAGGGTCCTAAAAATACCTGGATTATGATGGAGACAAATTCCTTAAAGCAAAGGAAGCAAATAATTAAATTTTTTTTGCTTTCTGCTGTGGTTTACTACATCTTTAAGTTTAAAAGGGATTAGTTACAAAGATCAGGTCAGAAAAATAAAAATAAGTATTGACATACATCCTTGGTGACTTTTCCTTTGAGGTATTGAATTGGGATCTTTCTTCCTGTACAGGAAAGCATATCAGTGGTTTAAATTTCACCTGTGTGCTCAGAGTATTAGGACAGGAACAACACTCTTCATGCAGTGATTTGAAAGCAATTGAATTGCTCAGCTAGCCTGCAAGCTCCAGTAAAGGCAGAAGCAGATCAAGTGGATTCAGCTCAGATTATGCCCTAGCTAGCAGCTTTCTAATACCAGACAGCAGATTTCCATAACTGCAAGAGATATTTTCTTAAAAACTGAAAACAGCTCATAAATTTACAATCCTGTCACATTACCCAGGAACTCATCTGGGAAAAAGGCTGTCTGTCACAACATGACAGGGAATGAGGGAAGGGAGGACATGTGCCTGAGTCCTCTTAGTGTTGTATTCTGGGCATTCACTAGTTTGTCAGGCTAGGACTCTCCCTATAGCTGCATATGTCGGCACACAAGAGAGGTTACAGATAGGTCTTGTAAAATTGCTGTCACTGTGGTGGAAGGCAGCCTGTTACAAACTAACCTGAATTTGCTCTGCATCCAACTGACTAAGTGGAAAAGAATCTTCAAGGAAATGCAGTCCCCAGCTGACTGCTTGGAAAGTGAATTTGAAGGGAGTGTGTTCTGTATGAAGCTAAACTCACACAGAGTAATGGCGTAGGTCATAGTGAATAACTGCAAAATAGCTGGATATTGAAGGTGATGACACTAAGGATTGAATATTGAAGGTGATGCTGTCCCTTTAAATAAATATATGGTGCTTGGTCACAAACCATCAGCCTGTGAAAGCACAAAGGTTACCTTGTTACATTTTTAGCTCTCTTTTTTGAGCTGAGAGGTGTACAGGGAAGAATGTTTTTGGCATACTTCATTAGCCTGTACAGTAAACTCCCTTTTCAGTCACATAGGTGAACCCTTCTGGTCAGAAGTGAAACAAATTGTTGGGGCAGTACATGATGCCTAATATTTGTTGGGAGTACAATATTTACCTTCTGCCTTATCTGTGCAGAAAAGACAGCCTGGGTTGTCCAGACTGGTTCCTCAGATCTATAAATATCATGCCACGGGGACAAAACAGCAAACAAACAAAAATAAATTTAAAAAACCGCCTTACTGCTTAGGTAAGAGCAGTCACATAGGGTTTATATAGTAAGATGTGACACTTGGATGATACATCTCCTAGTCTTATGCAGGTGAAGGGCTCCCCTCAAATAAACTCTGCACTGATCTGAAAACTCTTGCATATTGGGACAATTAATGGGACTGACAACAGCTTGAGCTCCTGCTTCAGCCCCAGAGCTCCCCATGCAAACAGTGCCCCAGGGAGCAGCACCTGGGCCAGCTCTGCTCCCAAGGAGAGCCCTGAAAAAGAGGTTGTGATGTGGTCAAAAGTGGCCATTTCTACCATCAATCTTAAAATCAATTCCAGGATCTCATTATCATCAGGGTTTGGTTTCATCTGGTCTGGGGTTATTCAGCTCATCTGCACATGAAGATGTAGGTGTTGCTGCTCCAGAAGGGATGCAGACAGGCACACTGCAACTGGCCACACTGGAAGAGAGCCCTGGCCTGGAAACTTACTCTTCTGACCTGACCATGCTTCAGGTCATGAAGACATCTGCGTTCCATAGCATATTCTGAAATTCACCACTGGTGTATTTATGGAGGCTGCTCACTAGCTTGTCGTCAGGGCTATTTTAGTGCATAAATACGTTAGGCTACTCATAAATGGATGAAAACTTGCTGCATGTTGGCCCTAGACAAACCAAAGGACTGTGCAGCACTTCTGTTGTAACCAGTGTTAAAGGCTAATGTTGTAGGTCTGACTAATAAAAACTTGAGCAACTCATCTCCCCAGTGTGGTTAGCTTTAACATAACATTTAAACATTTTTGGTTATTAAGAAAAAGTTAAACAGATATACAACAAGTGAAATCCAGGTTGGATATACATGCTGGAACTGCTCCATCATAAACGCAGCAGAAGATGCCCAAAGGTTTTACTGTTTCTCAGACCTCTGACATTTGCTTTCCTGTCTCACTGTTGGAGACTTGAACACACAAAATCCTAAATTTGCATATGGAAAAGAAATAAAAATTCCAATTCAAATCACTTAGAAAATATTAGGCATCTTTCCAGTCACATCAGCAGGCTTTGGATGAGTTGCCATATGACTTTTCTTCTGTTGAGTATCCAATGGAGGGTGAAGAAAACCTCTGAAAGGAATTGAACCTGCTTTTAGTTAATGTTTGCAATGTTCTGTTGCATTACACGGTTCTGAAGTAAGAGATGTCTGTTTGAAATGGTGTCCCAGGAATATCAATAGTATGACCTCCCTTGAACTGTATGATTCCCTAATCATCAGACAACACCATTGTTACAACACGTGCTGGGCATGTGCCATCGACCTGCCACTTTGTGGCACAGCTCTGAGGGACTAGAAAACAAACAAATAAACTAATCATACCATTTATGGGGCCAAGACATCCTCCATGGAGTAAAAGCTAATCAACTTCATAATAACATGCAATGCCCATGCGGAATCAAACTGTTTAGTCCTTTATGAATTATTCAGTGAGCCCTCCTGGCAGTTGGGGTAAGTTGTTTGTTGGCCTGGCTGCTGTTTCTCTTCTGCAGCACTCTCCCCTTGTTGTCCAGATTCAACATTTCGTGTTGTTTCCACAGAATCAGTGAGTGATGGACTGGCTGCACTATCCTTGTGGCCAAGCAATGTCCTGCCAATTGATTTCTTTAAATACAAAGCTTTTAATCGACTGCAGATTTTGTTTTCCAATCTCTCTCCTTCTCTCAAACTCCCTTCTGCTAATTTGCACTTTGTTCTTCTCCCATTTTCCTAATGACACAGCAGTTCAGGCAGGAACTGTTTATTGATGTTGCTGCATTAGCAGGCAGAGCAGATAAACCTTCTTGTGACTGGTGTTCAGGAGAACAAACATCTTTCTTTTCCAGGTTCAAATAAAAACAGCTAAAAATCTCAATGCAAGGCCAATAGCCCATTTATGGGAATTATAAAAAGCTGCCATTCCCTTTCAAATATGTTCCCTTTTTTTCCTTTCTCACATTCTTCTCTGCAAAGCTTCCCCTATCAACTTCTTCAGGTTAGAACTCCAGCATCCCATTTCCTCTAAGAAGCCTTCAGTGGTGTAATCCATCAATAGAGATGGACTTTCTTTTAATTACATGGTATATTTATCCATAATCATCCATAATCCAGTAGCATTTGTAACACATACCCATTCTTAATCAAAACTAAGTAACCTGACTCTTGTCAAAACTGATGCTTGTCCAAAGCCCAGTTGTAAGACCAGTCCCACTGGTATTCTCCGGAGGTGAGGATGACACCTTTGTGCAGCACTGAGCAAATTCACTTAATACTGAATCTACTTTAAAGCCAGAAATTGCTGTGCTTTCCTTATTTCCAGTAGTTTTTACCAAACAGCTTGGACTTGAACCTAAATGCCACTTGCAAAGACATTCTTGAGGCATGCAGCTCATTATATTTTTTGCTTACCTACAAGGATAGATTTATCTTTATTTTTAGAATTCCACATGACTCAATGAAATTCAGCCTCCAGAGCACACAAAAATTTGGAATTTCAGATGCTCTGAAAAAAGGAGGAAGCTCTAAACAACTTCTGTGAAAACCTGAGTCCCCTGTCAGAACAAAAAGACTCAGAGACATTGTGAAGAAACTCCTAGACAAAATCTCTGAAGCTCCTGGTGTTCCTCTGTACCTGTACAGGGCTCAGATGGAACAAGAAGTTCAAAATCACAAAGGAATTACATTGAAATGGCCATCAAGCTGTCAGGATGGTGTGAGGGCTTGGTGGAAGATCTCCAGTAGTGCTAAGAATCACCTGTTCAGTTGAAGGTGAGGAGCAAAGAACAGAACCAATGGAGCCAAACAGCCCCATCTTCTCTCCATTCCTCTCCAGCAACTCCTCATCTCTGTGCTGGCACAGGGAGTGGTGGTGGGATTGAGGAGGAGCAGCTTTCATCCCATTGATCTGAGGACTGTTAGGTGCACATGTAATTCACACACTGCTGCCCTCTGAGCTCTGCCAGTCTCCTAGGACTTCACTCCCAGCCCCTGGTGGAAGAACAACCTCCAGCAGGAGGAAACCTTTGTCTCCAGACAGCCCTTTCCCTGAGGCTGCTGCTTACAGTGTCTGTAAGGCAGGCACATATTAAGTCTGAATTGCATTGAAGGTGACTTCCATCTGTTTCTAAGACCAGTCAAGAGCATTTTTGGATGACCTGCTTCCTTGCTATCTGAAGTTTAAGACTACCTTACACTGTATGTAAGCTAAAATGGCAGACATCATTGGTCAGTGGGATTCAGTGGACATACAATAACTTTATTTTGTGTCCTAATCCTGGGAAGCAAAATGCATGAGGTGTTTTCCAAGACAATGTCCATCTCTAACGTTTCTTTCCTGGCCTGTGGGGAGATGTCACTGAGGAACTAAGGACAGAACCAACTCAGAGGCAAAACTGTGCATGCTGAACACATTTTTTCACTTTAAGCTTTCCTTTTGGAAAGAGGGATGTCACTTTCATTCAGCTACATTTACAATTTGAGTACTTTTATAAGACTGAATTGGAGACTCCTTTCTTTGACCTAACGTGATTTTAAAACTAATTTTACCTGAGGAAAGGTTGAATATAAACTGAGTAAGGATTTTAAAATTTGACCTAGAATGTTGAACTATTAGGTGACCTTTGAACTGCTCCTAGATTATCCAGGGTTTATGGTCATCCTATGTTTCATTGGAAGGGTCATTTCCTGTAGGACCTACAGCCAGTCACCTGACTTGTGACCTCTTGGATTAGATTTATGACCTTGCAAGGTCAGTCTTTAACTCCTTCTAGCATGTTATGTTGCAAAGAGGACATTGTAGGCAATTAGAAATGCAGTTTTCTCCAGCATGGTAATAAGGTTTTGGAATGAGCCTTAATTCCAGTTCACAAGACACTACTGATTTTCAAACAATATTGAGACTTTGTAGTTATCCCTGCCTTTTCTTAATTTAGAAATATGTAAATATATACACTGAAGATACCACAAATTTGCAAGTCTTTGCTTGGCAAACAGAATATAATCACCTACCTCCATGTCAAGGTATTTAAACAAACGAGAGGGAATTTTCAGCTCTGCTATGAATTGATAACTCCACCTGATCTTAACAGGAGCAGTAGAAACTCAGCACTCAGCTATGGAAGTACATGCTTTCTGTATGTGTTTGTATGTGTAATTAGAGTCTGTAATCTGTTGGGCAGGAATCATCTCTTCATGTACCTACAGTGCATACTCTAGTTTGACTTTGCTTTCTGATAACAATGAAGATAAATGCATTTAATAGATTCAGTCCTCCGATACAGAGCTTTACTAGAGTGAAAATAAGAAAACACAAGATTTCTCTGGTTAAACATAAAGTTCAATAGATGACACAACTGCATTTTCTGCAGAAATCAAAGTTAAGCACCATAAGTATGAGTTTTCTAAGGATCTCAGTTTCTGAGTTAGGCACCAAACATAAGAATGACATTTATTGAGAAACTACCTCAAAACTTTGTGTGAAATGATGAAATAGCTCTCCTTCACAGGAGTCCTCTAGGATGTCAGTCCCTAGATGAGGTCTCCAAACATTTGTATGGTCACCTGTGTTACACCCTGAGAACTATTTGAGAAATTCCACTTGTCATGTTTGTTTTGCCTGTCTTTCAGATCCCATGAGGCTACGAGCCCTCCGCTGTAACGGCCGTGCTTGCAACCCTCCAGTGGGGAACCTTGCAACAGGGAGGACACCAGTCACTCTCACCACCTGTGGCCAGAACAGTACAGAACTGTACTGCTTCTACCCAGACCAGAATCTCCTCCACCACATCTCCCATGGCTGTGGGCAGCCTCGCTGCACCAAATGCAACGCCAACCAGCCTGATAACTCCCATCTCCCTGCTGACATGACAGATGACTTCTTTGCAAACCCCATCTCCTGGTGGCAGTCTGCCCAAGGGGTACACAGGGAAGAAATCCGACTGGATTTTGAAACAGAATTCTACCTGACCCATGTTATTGCTGTGTTCAAGTCACCTCGCCCAGCTGCAATGGTGTTGGAAAGGTCCCGGGATTATGGGCAGACTTGGAGGCCCTACAAATATTTCTCTGTCAACTGTACAGCTACTTTTGGGCTCCAGGATGATCTCATTGAGGAAGGTTCCATGTGCACTTCCAGGTATTCAGATGCAGTGCCCTGCACCAGAGGAGAGGTAAGCAGTAACTGAGGTTTGCAGTAAGTTTAATGACAAACAGTTGAAGACTGCCTGAAAACCAGAGAGTGTGTGCTCAAAGAGATACTGTGCATGTAAAGTAAGAAAGGTAGCCCATACCCAAAGGCTTTGTGCTAAGAAAATAAAGGGGGGGGGGGGAAGAAGAGAAATTATATATCAGTGACAAGGAATGCAAATGCTTTAACAAATTTCTTTTATGAGAGCTGCACAGGATGGGATTAACGTTGTGAAATTTTACACTGCAAATGCCAATGCTCAAAGAGATACTGTGCATGTAAAGTAAGAAAGGTAGCCCATACCCAAAGGCTTTGTGCTAAGAAAATAAAGGGGGGGGGGGGAAGAAGAGAAATTATATATCAGTGACAAGGAATGCAAATGCTTTAACAAATTTCTTTTATGAGAGCTGCACAGGATGGGATTAACGTTGTGAAATTTTACACTGCAAATGCCAATAACTAGAATTCCA